CAATTCTGATTAGGTGCGGGCACAACTGATGTGCCTCAAAACATCAAAAGCTTCCGGTCCCGACGGATTATGTCCCGTCGTCCTCAGGGAATGTTCGTATTATCTGGCGAAGCCACCTGCTGGTATTTTCAACCGTTGCTTCGAGGAACAAAAAATTGTCCATTGTTGGAGATCTGTGCGCATCACACCAGTCCCAAAAAAGAAGCGACCAATCGCCTGCACCTCTTTTTCACTAATTTTTTCCAAAAGTTTATGCTTAGTAAGATTATTCCTAACACTGGGCAGCTGGATAACAATCAAATCGCTTATCGCAAAAAACGTTCTACCTTAGATGCTTTTGCGCATTTGGTAAACTCAATTTTGCGATCCCAAGAATGCACGGCATAACATTTCGTGTATGTTTCCTCGACTATAGTAATGCTTTTACCAGTGTTGACAGGAACAGGCTTTTGTCTCTACTTCAAGGTGCTGGATTATCCCATACTAGCTTCTCTCTACTCTAAGATTATTCTGCGGATATAACACACTTCACGGAGTTTCTTGGAAAAATCTCTGATTCCCTACCGGTCAACTCAGGGAGCAATTCTGTCCTCCTTTCTTTTCTCTCTCTATATTCGTGAACTACCCACTGACCCAGATGATCCTCTTATCAAGTATACTGACGATGTCACCACAGGTTTCAAATTCCAATGTGATTTCCGCTTCTCACAGCTTCGAATCAGGGTCTTCGTCTTCCAAATTATCTCTCAATACCTCTAAATGTAAGGATGTCACCTTCTCGCTATCCAAAGGAGAACGGCTACATTGTTGTGTAAGGAATTGTGCTGTGTTCTATGCTGACAACTAACCTGTTCCCTCAGTACATTCTCTGCAACACCTCGGTGTCACTATCTCCCAAGATCTCACCTAGACTTCACATTTAAACTCTACTTTCAAAAAGATTCGACGACTGTGTTTCCTTAATTCCTGCTTGCGTTCTTTAGCAGTTCCACTGTATTTACTCACCCGATTTGTTACCCATCTTCTCTACTGCTCCCCAGTTTTCTTAACCGGTCTTAGAGTTAAAGATTACACAATTCTACGCCGGTCTGGTAAAATTATTTCGCGCACAAGTGATATATCTTATTCGCATTTGCCTAACTTGATCGCCGACAATCATTTACCTCTTGCGAAAACTGCAACAATATTATATCAGACATCACTCACCCATTACACATAGAACTTAAACAATGCGTAGCCACTTCTGTAACTAGATGTCGTTGTAGACTCGTGTATGCTCATACTACTGCCTACCGTCTGTCCGTCATCTACTATCTTTCGAGATTTCTGGCTCAAAAGGCCCCCGGTAGAGAAGACTTTTTAAATTTTCTACGCAATTGATATCCATTTTCAAACTATTGTGCCACATTCCTTTGAATTCATGATGCTGTTTTTCACTTTTTCTTTGTGACTGCATGCGATCATAAATGATCCTGAAATTCAAGTCGAGAATCCATCCATTAGGATGAATAAAGAGATTTTTGATTTGACTTGACTTGATAAACACTGACAGCATTTGTTGGTTAAACAACGGTGAAAAGAACGTTTGAAGACTGGTTCTCGAAATCTGTACGACCTTGCACGAGCAGGCGTAGTATGGTTGCATTCTAACACAAACTACTGAATGCTTTTTTTATTACACACCTAGGTGTGATGAACCGCAGACGGGGTAAACCCCATAGTCACGAGGACCTGCTGTTCAGTGTTTGAAATCGGCAACCTAAGCCCCGGAACTTGGAGTGGCGAACCACATAAGGCCCCGATAGGTTAGGCGTGGTATTGAAATGGACGACAGCAGAGCTGCCTACCACCAAAGTCGGGTGTCGATGGCGGGGCTCGAACCTCGGACCATAGGGTCCAAAGTACGCCGGTGACAGCGACCAAACCACTACCACTACCGCTACCACCACCCTTGCATTACTACCAGAACGAAAATCGGAAGCGAAATTTAATAGATAATCTGAACGATTAAAATTAAACAAGAACATCACGAACCTTTGTGAGTGCAAGCTGCCGACAGGCCTCGTTTGTAGTGCATGGAAGTCAGCCATCGCCAACCTTCATCACGTTGCGCAATATCCAACAGGCAAATGGTGTTCAACCGTTCCCGGCCATCGAAACCGCCAATCACATAGACACATGTATCCAGAGAACATGCAGCAACATAACGATAACTGATCGGTAAGTCCTGAGGATAATGATAATAATAATAATAATAATAATAATAATAATAATAATAATAATAAGCAAAAGGGTACAGAAAGTTGCAGCAGTAACCTCAGAAATTGGTCAGCTAACAAAAAATCTTGCAAACTAATTATAGACTGAACGCGAGGATAGAATGAATTCGGTACACAAAACAAGATAACATTTTGGGAGGAGGAAATGGCACGTGGATTTACGTCGGAAAAGAAGAAATGCTTGATCACGAGAAACAAATGCACATGGATTTTTTTATTACACACATTTTTGTGGTGAACAGCAGACGGGGCGAACCCCATAGTCACGAAGATCTGCTGCTCCGTAATGAAAACCAGTAACCTAAGCCCGGGACTTGGAGTCGCGAACCACATAAGGCCCCGATAGGTTAGGAAGCCATATACTCGCGGTGAAAAAGGGCTCTTTATGAGACCGTGGAAACGAAAATTGAAAATATTAAGTGTTATAATGAGAAGAATCAATCATTACGCCAGGCGAATTAAACTGAATAAATAAAAATTTGAAAATCCGAAAATAAAGTCAATCTTGAGAAACCCAACTAAGTGTTAACCTCTCAAATTAGTCAGTCTGCCAAAAGTAACAAGTGATTAACCACGAAGATTGTATTTGAAACTTGTGATTGAACACCTCAATGTTTAACCTCTTCTGATGGGCAATGGAAGGCAACAAAGACAAAATGGGATGTCGGCGGATGACAGAAAGAAACGGGAACCGCTTATTGATTATTTTTTCTTTCTGGATTGTATAGTAAATTACGCCAAAGTGTTGGGAAGAAAATAAATATCGTGAGGACTAAGTGGGAACATTCATCCCAATTACTGCGCTTGTAAGATAAGCACTTCGTACCACAAAAATTATCCATCGGCACCAAACGCCTGGACATAGTGGGACATGAAAAACAGTGTAGTGCACTGGTTCAAAACAACAAAAGATTAATTAAATCTTGCCCGAAGCGCTCACATGTGTTCAACAATAGCAAAACCGTTTCGCGAAGAAAAATATGTTGGTCAAAAAGGTGGGAATCACAGTCGAACTGAATATTGCAATTTCCCTAGCGAGTTTCGGAAACTCGATTGACAAGATGATTTAAAAATACGAGTTGTTGAGAAGACGAGAACAGCGGGACCACTATAGCCAGAAATGGTCAACTATTCATTCTTTTGGTTGCCTTTAGACCATCTCGGTACTTAAATGTACATGTTTTTACGGACATGTGATTCCAGATTTTCCTAAGACGGATAAAAATAAAGCTGGTTAGTGGGAAACGACACAAAATACGCCATCGCACTACTCAGTACCAAACCTAATCTATCGGTGACGTGGTTCATCACTGTTAGTTCTGAATTTTAGTGTACAACTGTCCCTGACTGAACAGTATATTGTTGCAACAACGGTTTTCAAAGGAACTACTTCCTGCCTACTACTGTTTATTTTATATATATATATATATATATATCTTGTAGCAGCACAAGGGAATCTCACGGGAGCATGACGAACGCAATTTTCTGAGAGCCGGAGAAGCCTGATGTTAGTCAAAAAATGCTGTCATATAGTGCTTCTCCTTACATATTTGCCGGAAATTTTCTAGACACGGCCTTTGTGTGATGATGGTGTTTTCCCTTAAGTGTAAGAGCAAAACGTCAATATTCTGGAGCATAGTCGGGTTGGAAAGCTGTAGGAAGTTAGCTTCTCCTCTAGGGAAGCTGGTAAATCTTGATTCTAAATCCTCGAAGAGGTGTGTACTCTGGAAGCAGGATATCCTGGTGGTCGTGATAACCTGTTCAATTCGGCTATATGGTGTATTGGACAACTGCGATGGATGAACGACGTACGAAAGATGTGAGATGCGTATGACCACAAACCGATGGATGGGGGACAGTAGGGCTTACCGGTAGTTCGCTCCATTCCAGAGTGCGTGGATTGAACATTTCAACAGAATCGGACGGATTCTGATCAGAACCGAAACCACCAATCACGACCAAATACTCGTCACCACCGTCCCNTCACGCATTTCATGTCGTAAATCTGGACGCAAATGAAAGCGTTTGGCATCGTCCACCAAATCACGACATTCAAGGGACTGTCGAATCAGTTGCTATGATTGTGGACAAACGAGAAAGCGACGGATGAAATCAAAGCTATTGTACCACAGGGCATTATCGTCATCATTAAGAATGGCCGTATATTTGATTTTGGATAAAGTTACCCATGAGTTACCCAATTGAGAGTTGATAAAATGCAGGAAGACAATTTCCGTT